TTCATAGGCTTTGCTGAACGGTGGTCTTGGTGCACTGCAATGGTTACACACGTGGTCATCCCACGGCACCTTCCAAAACATAAATTATTTCAAAGAGCTGAAGCAATCTACAGCCCAATCTGTGTTGCTTAACATGACTAGACCTGACAAGTTCCTGTACATCAGGGTTGGGCTGATTCCTGAATCAACGTGCAGTGCCAAGAACTGAATGGTCTAAAAATACTACACACATTGGTGTGATGTAGCTTAACCAGGGTAAGCTCATGCTGTTGACCAGTGGAAAATATAAGTGACAGCCAAAAATGCATTCAATTAAAAGAGATATACAGTAATACAGTTCACTTGCCAGTTCTACAATGTAATTACGAACCATTTAAAAACAAACATTAAGATCCTTTAAACAGGAAAAAAAAAATCTCCATAAATTCTCTATTCCGTCATTAAAAAGCGGTGTTTAAAAAATCCCAGTTTATTGCTACATTTGAATCGGTAGTGACAATTTCCTTTAAAATCACAGCTATACCAAAATATATTCATTCTAGCATACACCTTGTATAAGTTAGGTTGGGGGGAAAAATTAATTACTAGATGTAAAGAATACTTTGCGCTGCAGTAATGGTCATCAGATCTTTTTACCAAAGTCCTACCCCACTGAGTTGAAAGGACCGGGGTCTTTTTTCACAAGGCAAGCACAATTTCTGCAAAACACTATACTTCGCCATTTTATAATTAATTTTCAAATGCTTCACCTATACATATTTTAATAATTTCTGATTTATCAGATGGTATCTATAATAAAATTTTCTATATTTCAATAAATGAAAAGAAGGCAGTTTCAATCCAACAACAGAGTGTCACACAATATAGGTCTGTCAGGCACCAATTTTTACTTCTAACATGTAAGTTAAAGGATAAGGAATTTATAATGCTGCCTGTGAACGAAACCACTTTTCATACACAAATGTGATCTTTTTTTTTTTCCAAAGGGTAATACAACAGTACATTTACATAAACTAATCCAAACAATCTATGTATTTGACAATGGCAAACCTCACACAGACTGCCTATTGTTGGTTTACATCTTGGAGTTCTTTATGTTGGCTTGTAACACTGCTCTAGCTGTCAAAGGTTTGACTTGGACTCTAAATAAATGGTTATAGAAGTGCTGTGCAGCGATATTGGACTTCTTTGCAAAAGAAAACCTGCTGTGTATGAATTCAAAAGCTATTAATTTTTCAGTCAAAAATATTCATGCCTATTTCTTTTAATAAAGAAACACTGTGCTGAGCAACTGAGAGATAATGTTGACTAGTGGTACAGAATTTTCAATAGAGCAGTTAAAAATAAATTTAGTAGGAGGTCCCCATCAAAGCTATAATTTTCCAGAATATAAAACATTTTTAATACTAATCAAGACAGCCCTTTTCCCCCATGCTCTTTTTTTTTTTTGCTGTTGCTTTCCCCTGTTTATTAGCTGTTTAATAATAATCTTCATAGCGACACCAACTGGTATCTTTGTAGCCTACAATGCCAATGAAAACGTCTTGCCTACCAATACCAAGCATCGATACCAAGCTCACGAACCGAGCCGTACTTGTCTGCCTGCTGTTACCGCCCTTTATTTTTAATCCCTGTCCTTGAGGAGAACTGCTGCTATGAAAGGCCTCCAGGCACAGCTTTGAGACTCCCTCGTTATTCCACTGTTTTAATTTTTAATCCAACAGGAGCAAGAGGAAGCAAATCTCTTCTCCATTCTGCTGGGTCTGTAGAGCTGAGCCCACGAGGTGCTGAGCAGTGCTTGCTTTCAACGCTAATGTGAACTGGACAATTGGAAAAAGGTTATCTCTAGGTACCATAAGTAGCTTCCATTTCTAACAGGTTGTATCCTCCAGATCAACCAATTTTAGGAATCTCAGCAGTTTAACTGGAGGGATTTCTAGTGGCCATCGGCAACTTTCTCCCAACTCACGGTTGAAATTTCCCGTCAAGTTTGACACCTGATCCTACGCTGTTAAACACCCTGCCGTTTTTTTTCTAGCGTCCTCCCTATCCACTTCTGCCGCCATTTATTTCCAACAACAGAGAAAGGGAGAAATCCTTTTCTAGTAAAAATGGATGCGCAAAGTGTTTAATGATTTTATGTTCTCTATCTCTGTAATGTGTTCTGTTTCAGACATTAATTTTGTCTACCAACTGCATCTTGGCAGGCTACCATATTTGCTGGGTTAATAGTCTGACTCTTTTTTATTTCTATCACCATAAATCACATGTATATGGGTGTGTGTTTGCGTTATTTATAGAAAAAAAATCAGTCAAAACAGATAAACCAATACTTTGTCATTATGCTGCATCATTGCATATTGATTAAAATTGCTAGTACTAACTATAGATTGTCAACGCTCAATTAATTTTCACACAATGACTCAGAGCAAAATCAAATAAAGGCAGTGTACCTTTAAATCTTACAAATCTTAAAATCAAGAAGCAAAGCACTCTCTCCATTTTGAATAATCATGTGAAGCTACAAGGAAAAATTTTAGTATTAGGATGATATTAGAAAACAACAGCTGAGATACAGTTTGGATTGGGGAATGAGGTGGTAGATTTGCCTTTGCCAGGTAGTAGTCCCGGTTTGGATGATGAGACCATCTGAACTTACAGAGCTAAATGTTTTATTCCGTGTGGCTTGTAAGGCGGATCCCCACTTCTGGGCTTTTATGAAGAGTGAGCCAAGGGAAGGGGGCTTTCGGTCCCAGTCTCCATGCACTGCATGTACTTTAAAAACTGGCACTGGGGGATATTGATTTTTTATCACCATCAAAATGTACGTACCGGTGGAGTCTATTCTATCCGAGCCTATGACAGCAGCCCAGCGAAAAGTGAAATAAATGCAATTCTTATCTTGGACACTAACATGCACTGGCTCGAACGCATCTCCCGATCACATTCAGATTTCCCTCACTTGAAGGGACCTACACGTATGCATGTAAAGGCAGGAAAAGGGGTATGTCAGCTTTAAAATTACTCATTTTTAACAACTCCTTGAAGAAGGGGAAGAAAGAAGAAAAAAAAAAAAAGAGTTGGCGAAAATTGGTTTACGTGGCAGGGACTATTCTAAGCCAACCAGAGAAGCAATTTTCATCTCTTCACTTTGACAGTCTGTTAAAGTAGGCCACACTTAGTATTATGCTCTGAGGTGGGAAACAGGAAAAGAGGTTGTTGTGAGGCTTTGTTCTCTCTCCGCACAGATCAGTACTTACGGGCTGAGGGGTGGCTTTTGGTTCAGTTGACTTCACATGTAGGTGTGTCATCATCGCTTGCAGGCGCTCTTTGTCTTTTGCAAGCTAAAGAGGGGGGAGAAAAGAAAGAAAAAAAAAAAAGCCCTGTTACTTTATGAATAAAACCCAGAACTCTGCTTATTCCTAATTAAACAGTTGGCACCGCAGCAGAAGACAAAGCAGCCTTCTTCGCGTAGTTGTTTGGAAATGTTATACGGTGGTTCACAAGGTAAAACTAACTCTTGGTGCTGGGTGTCAGTGTTTCCCAAAGGAAAAATGCATTCGCCCTTGAGTGAGGAGTGCTAGACCTGCTGGCACCAAGAGGTTCAATGTAGCACCCGACAGCTAAAAGACAATATCGAATCATGGTTATTAACCCAATCCCCTCTATTTGCTCAGGAGGCAAAGCAGAAACCAAGTTATGCGGCTAAGTTGCGAGGCCTTTTTTTTTTTCTCTCCCCTCTTTCTTTCTGCTCAGTATTGAAAAAGAAATTCAGAAAACAGACTGTTTTTTGCATCGCGTACGGCTTCGGTGGCGTGCAAGACGAGCAAAGAGACCGCAGGAAGCATCCTCAGAGAGGCAGAACAGGCAGCTTTCAGCTCTGGAAAGCACCAGCACTGTCTGGGGGAGAAAAAAGCCTTTTCTAAAATCAGCACCTCTCTCAACTCGCCTAGGAAGCCGGGGCAGAAACAGAAGCAAGGGCAATATTCGTCTGAAAAAGGGGCAGCAATATAAATTGTATCCTCCCAGCATGCATCTTTAACCAACAGGGGAGGAAAGTGTGACCATATTAGGAACTATTTTATTAGGGCTCTGTCCCCGTGTGTCAACTGATTGCTGCTCAGACCAGAAGTGGCTCAAAACACATAATGCTACTCCTGTGCTCCTCCTGCTGTGAGAGTCCCCGGAGAACGGCACTTCGTGTGCAAACGGGTGCACACTCCTTCATGATGACATGCTTCACTTTTCTCAAGTCCCTTAAAATTCCTCCTGAAACCCACATCTCTGTCACTCCCAGTTCCTCATTTTTATGCTGGCTGGCCTTGCTGGCGGTGGTTTGGAGATGCACTTGGAACGTAGCAATCAGGATCTAAAAGGCATTTTTACATGTGCTGTGGGATGTGGCGCCAGGTGCTTTAATTAGTGAGCTGTGCTAGTTAAAAGTGCCTGTGCCTTGTGCATCAGCATCCTCGCGCTGCAAAAGTGGCGGTGGGGCGCTCTGAACAAAAGCTCCTCGAACATGTTTTAGTTCAAAGCGCCCCATTGCCATCTTTTCAGCATGGGGATGCTGATGTACGTGATGCAGAAGGCAGCTGGAGTGGGTCAATTCCCGCGCTCCAACAGACTCCATTCATCGAGTCTGCTTGGACGTGCCGGATTTCCGATGCGTCGCACGCATGTCTATAGGAGCCCTAAGCTCGCTGCCTTTGGAGATGCTGAAAACGTTTGATGTGCAATGGGGACCGTTCCCGGCTCTGTTTTAAAACAGCGTGGAGGTCCCATGGGCCGCATGCAACCCATGAGGGATTGCCATGCCACCTGCGGGCTCCCAGCTAGCCACTGCTCTGCCTGCTGCTATGGCTCCCCATCTCCTCCAGCTTCTGCTTCTTGCCCCTCTCTCCTGGGTGCAATGGGAGGGTTTGGGGAGAGTATCCGTGCTGCCCTTGCCGTGAAGGGAGTGTGTCAGGCCGTGCACATGGTAGGAAGGAGAGAATCCAGAAAGGCCTCTCCTGTGCTGCATATGGCCTGGAAGTCTGCAGCCCATATGGTATGTGTCCCCCCCACAAAGATAGCTCTATTTAAAAAAAAAAAAAAACCCAAAAACTACTAGCAAATTTGGGTGTGATTAACAAACTTGCCCAGCAGAAAAAAGCCTGTTCTATTTAGTGGGATTTAGATCAGGCCTTTAAAACTGACAGCTTTCTCAGCTTTTGCATTTTGCTTTAGAAAATCCACATTCCTGGTGCCAAGAGGAGAAATCCACTCGCATTCCAGTGTGAGTTTAAACAACCTGCCCACCTTATCAGTCATCTGTCTCGAGCAGTAAAACTGGGGAAAGCGTATGTAAAAGAAGGCTCAGTCATAAACTCGGATTTGTAATCTTGCAGTTAAGGCTGTGTCAATCTACCCGAGCGGAGGGGTTCTGCGCGTGCCAAAAAAATGTCAAGATGGGTTGAAAGTTGGCACACAAGGTTTCCAAGACAGGAATTGGAGAAAGGAAAAATTGGTGCAACTGTCTCATGTTCTGAAAGTGCAAACCCCAAATCCTGGGGATTTTCACAGGGTGGGGGGCTGCATGGTGCTGAGGATGGGTGCTGAGTCAGTACTGGGTGCTGATCTACAGTGAACCAGGACTTATCAAATGGCTGCTGGGAGAGTCACAGAAGCCAGACCCTGGCAAGGAAACTCCACATCCCTGTAACGCCATGTAACCTGGATCGTTAGTGCAGAAGTCTTTGCACTATTCTACGAGGAGGCTGACTGATAATGAAAAAGCAAAGGAGCATGAAGCAGCTGGTGGTAAGGGCAGTCATGCCTGCAGCACATCTCTTGTGACCTAGTAGCCACACTCCCCTGTGAACTCCACGACAGGGTGCTGAGCCTGGCCCAGACGCTGGGTGCATTGCCCAAGTCGCCTCCTCCCCGTGGGGTTTTCCTACGGTCTCTTTGGCGAAAGTGGGGTTCTAAAAACCTCATAGACGTTGCTTTATGCAAGACCAATGAAGGCTTTTGTTTTTTGGGGTGGGGGCTGCTGCCTAGTTTTCTATTCTTAGTAGCTTTATTTGCTGACTGGCTCAGCGTCTGAGCTGCCTTCACTGTAGTTGGCACGTGAAACCTCAATTGGGTGACAACCCATTGCAGTACGGATCAAATAAGTGCCCCCTCCTGAAAACCTTTGGTTTGCGACTCAGCAGCAAAGGCACGGAGGCACAAAGGGACACACCCCAGCTCTTTTCCTCCTGCGCCCTGGCATCCGCAAGGCACAGTACATCATTTCACCCCAAATTGGCAGCGTCCTTGTTTTTATTGTTTTCAGTCATCATCTGAGCATTTTTTTTTTTAATGCAGCATTGGGTGGAGGAAGTCTATTAAAGATTCTCTGGACATTTCAGGCAGACGCACATTAATATTTTGTCATAGTCTAGGAATTCAAACACTCACACACTTAGGCAGGAGTTTAAATGATGAAAAATGGACGTCTCCCGGTTTCAAAGCAGCGAATGGAATGGAAGTGAAAAATCCTAAGAATTTCTTTATGCCGGTTCCCCTTAGGTCAGGAAGCAAGAGCGATATAAACCCGTAACTCCATTATTACCACCCCACCGTTCAGTTAGATCATTCAAAAGAAGTCATGAGGTCTTGCTAAGCCAGTGATGTGAGCAAGCTCTCATCACTGTGGCAGTGACTAGGGCTCGAGAGGTCTAGAAATGGGGGCCTATTAGTAGTTTTGCAGGAAAATGCACACAACTACTAACAGCACCCTTTGTGAAAGGACTGGTATGCGCAGAAATTAAACTGATGCATGTTACTCAAAAACAGGCCTGTTCTGACTCTCCAAAGATACTTGCATGTGCTTTTTGTCACCCTGCTGATCTCCTGTGACAGGAGGTAAATGTATTGGCTCTATAAAATGATGCCAAGATCATCCGACGTGCCAAGCTGCGCATCTGCGTCTCAGTAGGAGTTGCCTAGAGGTGCACTGGCATTTATACAGGGGGCAAGCTCCCCCTGCTCCTAAATGCAGAGTTAGACTGGAGCACTAGACTAGACTAGACTAAACCAGCATTAGGTTGGTCAGTGTAGTGCTGGGAGAAAGTATCGACCCCCAACACGCAGACCGAGAGTGCATCTATACTCCTGCACCCTGCGGTAAAGGGCTTTGGAGTGCTATATTGGCCTCATAACTGTGGGTTCAGGATCCCCTTCTTCGACTCGCTCTGAAAGACCCCGATACCTCTGTGTAGTGGCTGCCTTCCCCTGCAAGAAAGCATCCAGGTCTCTGCTCACGGGTCTGTAAGCTCTTTGGGGTACTGCACCCACTCTGGGTCAGATGTAAGGAGCCTTTACAGATGTGGTCGCTCACTAGGATTCATCTGGCCTTTTGGTTTTCAAGCATCCCTGACCCATCCTCTTGCACTTAGTCCTGCCTGTATCAAAGGATGCGGATGCTGCTCTTCTGTTCTCTCTGCAACCCCTGTTCCGTCCCACTCTTTTTGCTTCAGCTGCCCATATGATCCTCTCTGTCTGGCTATAAAATCACATAGGGATTCTTCTCAGTGGCTCATCTAGTGGCTCTTCAAGATGGATCCTATTAGTTCTGCACCAACGTGGGTCAGTAAAAGTGCAATCTAGCCCTGAGTATGTGCCAAAACAGTGGTTCCACGGTGTTCCTTTGACAGCTGGTTCCATTTTCCAGTTACTCCTCTGAAGTTTCATCTGGTATTTATCTTAGCCTTTCATAAGATGCCTCTCACCGTTGTCTCTAAGTGCTGCTTAACTAAAGAGTCTCTTGCCAATTATTACTGTAAACACGTATGTAGTGCTTGATGTTAATTTGGCACTTTAGAAAGTAGATAACGAGACCTCCCCCCAGCTTGGGGAGCAGGTTCAAATCTAAAACAAATGTACATGAAACACGGGACACGGGAGGAGACGGAAGGCACAGAAAAGCAGGTAAGGGCAGGGATGCCCTTCCAGGCACAGGTGGCAGGAGAGGAGAAAGTGCCAAGAAAGAGAGAGAGAGAAAAAAAGAGATGATGGGAACAGGAAAGCTAGGGGGATGTGTGTGGTAGGGAGAGGGGAATGAGGACGAGGAGTCTTGCAAATAAGGACAAGGAGCCTGAGTTTGAGCTGGAAGCATAAAGGGGGATTCAACATAAAACTCCAGCAGCAGCCTTTTGGATACACGGACGGTGAGGGAAAGGGAGGCCAGTCATCAGGTCAGGGTACTTAGTACAAGAGATCAGGATGTGGAGGAGGTTTTTGCCTGTTCCCTCATGCTACATCCTCAGTCACTACCAGTGATTACTGTTTCTGATCTTCTTTGGAACATCCCTTACATATTTGAAGACCGGCCAAAGCTGCCTTTCCTCTTCACTGGAAACGCCCAAGTATCTTCAAGTTTCCCTGTTTCAAGCTATTTTTCAAATGCTAGTGACATGCCGGTTGTTTTCTTCCAAACTCTTCCAATAAAATGTAGGCTCCTCAAACAAATCCAGTCCTCCAGCTGCAGCCCAGCTACACAGAGCAGCATGCATCTTACTTGTCTATAACCCCTCGCTCTTCTCCTTCCTATGCTCCCAGCCTCCCACATCTCTCTCTGCAAACCCCATCATCAATTCCACCAAATGGTTCATAGATTCATAGCTGTCCTCTGGAGATCATCAGGATCTTGCTTGGCAGGAAAGACTGCTGGGGTCAGATGACCCCAGCAAGGTGAGCGTCCAGGCGGTTTTTTTAAGATATCCAGAGTAGGTGATTGTACTACTTCTGCGGGGAGTCTATTCCAGACCCTGGACGCTTGAGTTGTAAAGAAGTTTTTCCTTATGTCTTTCCCTGGGGAGCCCTGGTGAACAGATGTTCCCAGTCCCTAATATGCACCCTTTATATATTGATAGGCTGCCACCAAGTCCCCTCTGAGTCTTCTCTTCTCCAGGCTGAACAGGCCCATGTCTCTCATGATATGACCTGCTCATATCTCTCCCTGCTCTCATGACTTGCTCATATCTCTCATCATATGATCTGCTCTCCATACCTCTAACCATACATGCAGCCCTCCTTTGGACTCTCTCAAGCTTCCTCACATCCTTCCTGAAGTGCGGTGCCCAGACCTCGCCAAGGCCAAGGCCAAGGCCAAGTATAGCAGGAGAATGACATCTTTCGCCTTGTTTGAGATGCATCAGTAGATGTATCCCAGTGTTTTGTTTGCTTTGCCAGCAACAGCATTGCACTGGTGGCTCATGTTCACCGTATCAAGACTCCCATCATGTCACCATGACTTCAATAAGGAGAAATACCAGGAGACAATTACTTTACTTGTGGTATTTCAAACGTGTTTAGAACAGAAGTACTGATAGGCCAGAGATTCACAACCTTCCTGCCTGCTGGTATTTATGACTGGATGCCTGACATTGCTTACCCCGAATATTAAATAAAACAAAACTTTTATTTATCAGCATTCGCACTTTGACAGAATGCTGTGCAAGATGAACAAAAACTAAAGAAAACCCAATGGAGCTAAATAGGGCACTTTGTGTTTAAAACCAAATCAATGCACAGCCCTCAGCTATACAATTACTTCCAAGACAAATAATTTAAAGCAACAGAGCTATGTCAAGGAATTGAACACAGTCAGCCAGAAATGTGTGAGATGATGTTTCTTGCGTTCTCAAGAAACTTCATTGAAAAGGGACCGGATGACATGAAACCGCAGTACTTTAGGATCCTAAGGAGTTTGCAGAAGTGGCTCTGGCCTCCACTTTGGCTGTCACAGAGTGCATCTGTTTCTCTTTGCTCTTGTGATCACCAATGTCAAAAGAGCTGAGCAAATGGCCAGTTGGCTGGAACATCTCTGGCCCCTGCTCTCCACAGAAATGACAAAAGGATGCCTCTATACCATGCAATACCTCTCTTCCCTCCTAGAAGTCACATCTGGTGTGTGGAGGGGAGAAGAAACACATCGCATAGATCCAGCACCTGTCCAAGAGGGAGCCAAGAGAAGACTTTCCATCAAATGGCATTTGAGAGCACGAGAAATCAAAGGTGGCCCAATGCCTTGGCTATGCGTGAATAACTTTCCATTAAAGCAGAACAAATTTGCAAATGGACTCCATCACAGGCAACATGATACATGATACTGCTGCAAGTCACGTGCAGAATTCGGCCTTTGCCAGGGTGCCGCACCATGATCAGTATGTAGTGCTCTACCATCCCACCGGATAACAAAGCTGCTCGCTAGCATTTTGAGTATCTCTGGGTAAAGAGAGGCCTTTCTTATCTAGATCACAGAACTCAAATCTACTAGTATAAAGGCTGAGCTGTGTAAACTGGGTAACTGGTTTTAGTCCAAGTGTCCAATTTCTTGGTGGGCCAGGTGTCTACCCCATGAAACCTTTTAGTGCAAATGGTGCTCTTGGGCAAACTCAGGTTAACTACTCACTAGACGACTCCTACAGAGTAGGGAAATCCTCTGGCTACAGAGCCCCTGCCACCCCTCCTTTTTAAAATCTCTAAACACTACGCATACCTGCTCTGTATAGGTTTCTCTCCATGCAGCTTTGCAAAATGCCAAGCACTTTTTCTCTAACCTGAGCTCTGATGATAATGCAATTAAGCGGATAGGGAGCAGATTATTGTCACTGCCTCATCCAAAGACCATTGATTTTCCTTGCCTCTGTTTTAGCCTTCCAATAAGAAAGTGCAAATTCACGACCAATGAGATACCAGTATCTCATACCTAAAGCTTTGGGACAGTAAAAAATATGGCTAATGAGTATACTATCCTGTTAATATGGATGCATCTCATGGCATGGACTATATCCTTCCCTTACCACTTCTCTCATCATTAGTCCTGAGTTGCAATTAGTACTATGAAACACCACACTATCCTTCATAATATCTTCAAGGACTCACAATGCATTGGCAATGAAAACACATCTCTGTTGTGTTCAACTCCTCTCACAGAGCTTCATTCTGCCATCCCCATGCATACAATTCCCACTGGCTACAGGAGTACAGGAATGAGCCCATTATGTTTTTCAACCTCACTGCAACCCAATCCTCGGTTTACCTCCACCTCGATTGTTATTGCATCTTGGTGAAAGATTATCTTATATTTCAGTCCACCAGTAAGACTGCAGGGTTGTTTTGGTTTTGGGTTTTTTTTTTTAATTCCCGAGAAACTTGTTCAAATAACAGACCATTTCACCTAACAATTTCTGCAAGACACTGATATTTTACGACAAGTTTGATTTTTATAAAACTTATATTAAAATACTCTATACTGCTTTGGCTAATAGTGAAAGTGTCATGACTGCAGTGTTACCGAAAATAAAATTTAGGAAATATCTATGAAAGAAAAAAAGGCTAATTTGTAAGGCAAGAAGATAAAAGGATTTAAAAAAAATGGTTATCTTGCAAAAGTAACAACAAAAAGTTTAAGTGTGTTTTTGCTGATTTTTCTCTACAACTATTTGAAGCTATAAATGACTTAACTCAGTAAAATTCCAAATGTAATTATCTTCTGTACTTAGCCCTGGGCTTTCCATATATCTCTAAATTGCTGTCTTGCATACAAAATAGGTTTTTCAATAGCTGGTAACTATATAATGTACAACATTGTTTTAATTTCCCCTCCTTTGCTAACCTCTTGCCTACACAGAGACACAGACACACAGTCAAAGTCATCCAGCTAGAGCAGGAAAGCACAGGGAGATTATAAAGAACTCAAAAGCATTTTGAAAGACAGTGACAGAAATGGGTCACAACTATGCAATTGCACATTTCAATAAACTCCAAATTTACCCTTTTTTTGGACTTTCAAAAACTCATTTGCTCCATGTGGCAAAAAAAAGCCTTAAATGGAGAGTGTTAGTATACAAGAGACCACCAACAAGTCAGGTTAGGCAGTGTTTCGAAGTGAACAGTGATCATTTCCCCCATGCCACCAGCTCTAAACCATTGGGAACACGTTCGGTTCTCCCCTGGCCGCCCTCCTCTCCCACCACAATTTGAGGATAAAAAGCAACAGACACAAACTGATGGATTTCCAACCGGTCGGCTTGTTTAAGCTTCCTATTTCTTTTCAAGTTACGGTTTACAAAAGAGGAAATGAAGCTGCAGTTTCTTTTGACAGTTCTTAAAACTACTACAAGGAAGTTTTGAAAGCCGGTTTTCAATCATAGTGGGAAAAGCAGAACTCATTTTTATGGCTGTTGAAAATTGAATTGGATTAATACTGAGGTAATATTAAAATAAATTTCATTTTACCTGTAGCTCTAACTGCTGTACAACCTGCATTTGTACTCTACATTGGGCTGTACTTCTATCATCCAGCGCATGCTCGCTGTTGAGATGT